GTGTGTACAGTGAGCTGCTCTGTGACTGGCTGTGTGTACAGTGAGCTGCTCTGTGACTGGCTGTGTGTACAGTGAGCTGCTCTGTGATTGGCTGACCCGTTGGGAGAGAAGTGCAGAGAGTAGATCTCCTTCAGGTGTCCCTCCAGGAACATCACACAGCGTCCGGTCCGGAGATCCCACACCCTGCCGAACGAATCCAGCCCTCTGATTGGACGAGAGGCAGACAGAGAGGTGATTGGTCCACAGAGAGGTGATTGCTCCACAAAGAGGCGCGGGGTCACAGAGAGAGGGGGGAACATTAGAGTGATTCTGTCACGATTTACTTTATATTAAATATATAAACATATATGTAAATTATTAATATGTAGTGTTGGCATTAACATATATATGTTTTATATATTTAATATAAAGTAAATCGTGCTTGCATTAACTTATATGTTAATATAATAAGTTAATGCAAACACTACATATTAATAACTTACAGATATGTAATATAATATATATATTAACATATATATATGGTAGTGTTCAGTACCCGGTGGCAGCCAATGAGCCGTCGGGGTGGAAGCCGATGTCATGGACTCCTTTGCTGTGACCCTCCTGATGAAGAATCTCCTCCTGAACTTCAAGATCCCACAGACGCCACGACTTATCATAGCTACACACACACACACACACACAGGTCATGTATATATATATTTAAAACATACGTGTGTGTGTGTGTGTGTGTGTGTGTGTGTGTGTGTGTGTGTGTGTGTGTGTGTGTGTTACCTGGATGTTCCCAGGAATCTCCCTGATGGATGCCAGGAGACTCGAGATACTCTCTCACTGTGACCCTCTATATCAGCTACTGGTTCATCACTAGAGACAGGAGAGAGACAGACAGGTGAGAGACAGACAGGTGAGACGGACAGGAGAGACAGACAGGTGAGTTGGACAGGAGAGAGACAGACAGGTGAGAGAGACAGGAGAGAGACGGACAGGTGAGACAGACAGGTGAGAGACAGGAGAGAGACAGACAGATAGGAGAGAGACAGACAGGTGAGAAAGACAGACAGGAGAGGGACAGACAGGAGAGGGACAGACAGGTGAGAGACGGACAGGAGAGACACAGGTGAGAGACAGACAGGTGAGAGAGACATACCGGAGAGGGACACACAGGAGAGAGACAGACAGGTGAGAGACAGGAGAGGGACAGACAGGAGAGAGAGAGACAGACAGGCGAGAGACAGGAGAGAGACAGACAGGTGAGAGAGACAGGTGAGAGACGGACAGGTGAGAGACAGACAGGTGAGAGACAGGAGAGGGACAGACAGAGAGGTGAGACAGACAGGCGAGAGACAGGAGAGAGAAAGACAGGTGAGAGAGACAGGTGAGAGACGGACAGGTGAGAGAGACAGACAGGAGAGAGAGACAGACATGAGAGAGACAGACAGACAGGAGAGAGACAGACAGGTGAGAGACAGACAGGTGCTTAATGCGGGGCATAATGACAGGAGGCGGGGCTTAAGGGGCGCATGCTCTGTGAGCGCACATACGGGTTCTTCTGCTCTGATAGCTAGGCATGCTGGGTAATCTGAGATGTTCCACTCTCAAAAGTTGGGCCATTTTGTCCTCATCCGCCAATGAGTAGCTCTCATAGATAAGACCCCGCCTCCTACCCCTCGTCCCATTGACTCCTCCCCCTCGTCACAATAGGCTTGTTTGAGACGAGCGAGACTGACGCAGACCTACGCAATTGCGATCGCCGCCTTGCTCGTGCGTTGCATGATGGTTAGTCATTTTGTCCGACTTGCTCTGGAGGCTCGCCTACATGAGACGTTGAAATCTCGCGGGACAAAGACGCCCGCAGACTTGAGAGCGAGGCGCGCTAGGCGGCGCAGTTCCTCTCCACGGGCTGCGGAAGCGAAATGCTTGATGGGAAACGACTCGCTGGTATCTCGAACTGAGCGCTCATTGGTGGGTTTTACTCCGTGCTGCTGATGAAACTCTCCAATTGGCTCGGCAAAAGTTTGTTTTGTGTCAGTTTTACGTCACCACTTCCATTCACATTTCTCATCTCCTTGACTCCTCCCCCTACCTCTCGAGGTTCCACAGCTTCACGGAGCCGTCTCCGGCACATGATGCTAAGCTGACGTCTGATTGGTCGAGAGAGACTCCTGCCTGCGGGCGGAACACGATGGCCCCCACGTTGGTGTTGTGTCCTGCAGCCAATCAGAGAGCAGAGAGGGGCGAAGTTAGAGCAGTAACAGCTTTATATAGAAAGGTGGTGATATTTAAGTACAGAGTAAATAACTATAAATACACATGTATATGAATATATGAATATATAATATACCTCTGAGCGTTCTCAGCAGGCTGCAGTCGGGGACGGACCACAGCTTACACAAACCGCTCCTGTGGGTTAGCATGTTAGCATTAGCTTAATCACAACATGTGTATTCAAGGATTAGCTGCTGTCATGCTAAATATGTGCTAAAGTGGGCGGGGCTTGGTACCAGGAAGCTGTGGCGAGCATCTTGGAGTCGGGGCTGAAATGGCAGAAGCTGATTGGACGATCGTCTCCGATCTGACTGCAGAAGTTATTCAGATTCTGCAGAAGAAGAAGAAGAAGAAGTTAGAGATATGATATATGTAATGTTATATATTATATATTTAATGTTATATATGTTATATGTGATTTATTTAATGTTATATATGATATGTGTATAACTCTCACCCTCAGGCTCTTCTGCTGCTCTTGTTGTTTTATCGCTCTCGTCGCCTCGGCAACGTCCTTCTGAACGCGAGCCTCCTCCAGACGCCTCATCGCCCTGTGGACCAATCAGAGCAGGTGAGCCACAGCCAATCAGAGCAGAGCAGGTGAGCCACAGCCAATCAGAGCAGAGCAGGTGAGCCACAGCCAATCAGAGCAGAGCAGGTGAGCCAAAGCCAATCAGAGTCCTCCCATACTAGAGGCACATAGTTACAATAACACACACACAGCCTCCCTCCCTGTGATTGGTCGCTGACTCACCGTGGCAGAGAGTATTTGGCCAACCAGAGGCGAGCGTCTTTCAGGGAGGCGGAGCCTTCGTGGTACCAGGTCTGCTGGCACTGTGATTGGTCAGAATCACACGACATGTTATTTATTTATTGCAAAAAACTTCATCAAATCTCTACCGGACATGTTGTTGTTGTTGTTGTTGTTGTTGTTGTTGTTGTTTACCTCATCCTGGCTCTTCTTGCCCCTCTCCTCCTCTCTCCTGGATTTCTTCAGAGCGTCCGGACCGACCACCGAGAGGACTCCCCTCAATCTGAAAATAGATTTATATTATATTTCATTCGAGTGCTATTGTTCATGTCTGCCTGTTTAAATAAAGGTTCCTCCCACCTCTCCCTGCGGTCAGCTGGTCCTTCTCCGAACAATACGATTGGCTCTCCCAGCGCTCGGAGCCCCGCCTTCACCTCTGAGTCATCAGTAGAGACGGTGATCTGCCTCGCCCTGCGTCGCCTCTCGAAGGCAGCGAGCGCGTCGTTCTGATGCTCGCTGACACGCTCCTCCATCTCCAGGTACTCGCCTGCAAGGCATCATGGGAAACGTAGTTCACTCACAAGGCATCATGGGAAACGTAGTTCACTCACAATGAGATGTTGATGTTTACAGATGTATAATGTTGTTGTTTACCTGAGGAGATGTTGATGTTCCCAGCCTTGATGCCAGCCTTAAGGGCGTCTCTCCCTCGCTCGCCCCCCAGCCTCTCCCTCTCTCTCTCCTCCAGGCTGCCATAATAAACTCGACTCCTCTTCGTCACCGGAACATCGTCATCGTCAGACATCTTCACACCGCCGGGGCTGCTGGGAAAACTGCAGAACAACATGAAGACGAACGTTAGAAGATATTCAAAAATAAACATTGACAATCAGAGCGGGTCACCTGACAGGTAAACAGGTGTAATCAATACTGTTCTGCAGTAATCTGATTACAGTCTCTCAGAACCAATCATCTCCGTGAGAGCAGAGCGGCTCAGGTAAAGCTCAGTGCCCTGTACTCTGACGCCAGTCCAACAGACCCAGAGGCCTGTACTACAAAACCAGTCCAACAGACCCAGAGGCCTGTTCTACGAAACCAGTCCGACAGACCCAGAGGCCTGTACTACAAAACCAGTCCAACAGACCCAGAGGCCTGTACTCTGAAGCCAGTCCAACAGACCCAGAGGCCTGTTCTACGAAACCAGTCCAACAGACCCAGAGGCCTGTTCTACGAAGCCAGTCCAACAGACCCAGAGGCCTGTACTCTGAAGCCAGTCCAACAGACCCAGAGGCCTGTACTCTGAAGCCAGTCCAACAGACCCAGAGGCCTGTTCTACGAAGCCAGTTCTACAGACCCTGATCTCTCCAAGTTATCTTACCTAATCCAAAACAAACGCGCTCTCGCTAAGCGGTCCTACGACGCTGGTTATCAACTCGGTAACTCAAGCCAGGGTGTCTCTGTCCGGCTGAGTGCGCGTTCACATGAA